AAGAAATTCTCATGTGTATTTTGTAAAGTTGGTGTGTGCTATTCCTGTACAAAGTTTTATTTTGTTTTGCTTATTATTTTTTTTTAAACTTTCCTAAACTTTCGTAAAACTTTTTTTACAGATTTAACATTTTTCTAAGCTTTTTTTTTACCGTTAACCCCTAACTAGCAGTAAGCAGCACTAACAGTAAATTCTCAATTTTCCCATAACTCCCACCCACCCCAGCTAGCAAAATATATAATTATATAATATTTAAATTAATTAAATAAATTGAACCCCTGATGGTTAAAAAATAAATAAAAGTTAATCCTCAGCGGTTAAAATAAATTAGATCACAGTATAATACTGTGATCTGTATTTTGATCACTGTAGGCAGTGATCGACTGGCAGGGAAAGGGGTTAATTTTTATTTGGACTGGGTAAAGGGGGTGTTTTTTATTTTTTACTTAAACGTTATTAAAACTTTTTTTAGCTTAATTTTTAACTTTTTAAAGTTTATTTTAAAACTTTTTTAATGTTAACCCCTAGTTAGCCTAACACCAAAGCCCCCAATTCCCCACTAACTTCCACCCACCCCAGCTAGCTAAATATATAATTTTAAAATATTTAAATTAATTAATTAAATAAATTTAACACCTGAGGGTTAAAAAAAAAAGAATTAACCCTCAGGGGTTAAAAAAAAATAAGATGACAGTAAAATCTAATCCCTGCCAATTGATCACTATAGTCAGGGGATCCAGGGTTAATTTTAACGGGTGACGGACAAGGTCCGTCACTCGTCGTTATGGCAATCACCTGAGTGACGGACCTCGTCCGTCACTCGTCGTTAAGGGGTTAAACACCAAAACTATATATACACCCTTACATTAAAAAAACAGCACAATGCATAATTCCATGTTTGCATTTAAACAACAAAACTTCATACACACCGTTACATTCACATTAACATACGCCATACAAAATCATGCTTGTTTTGTATTGCCATATGAACTGTACTGTATTGCTACATCGAGGTCTGGTTTAGGGATCCAAGCTTTCTCTATGCTGATGGCCAGGTGCAAAGACAGAGCTTCTATCAATGATTGACAGAGAGCTAAGAGATGCCAAGTTACATGATAAAGAGGAGTGGATTTCATAATTTAAATGGTTATTCACTAAAGTGTGAATTCAAAGTCAATTTCAAATTTAAATGAACACTCCAGATCCCTAATGCACTTTAGCTTGCTGAAAAGCTTTATATGTGAAAAGTGTGTCCTCTTTTTTTATTTTGGAAATAGCTCAGATTTTAATAGTAATTTACACTTTTATAAATTAAACTGGTTACACCCCCTGGCATTTCAATCAGACAACTGGTCCTGTTACTTCCTGGTTTGGTTAGCTTAGTTGCACTGAACTCAAGAGGCAGCAATTGCTCAGAGCACCTGCCTTGCAAAGGCTTCTCATTGAACTGCATTGGGAAGTCTGTGATTGGACAGACTCAAAGTCTGGGCGGGGTTAGCATGGGGGGACTTGCAAAGGCAGCAGATAATAGATCTGCAGATTTGCAAACTGTTCTTAGATATAACTCCAATGGGAAAAAATGCATAATTAAATGCATGTACAATTTAATTTGGGGTATATCTAAACATATACTAAACATTGATTTTCAAAAATGTATTTGGGCAGTGAAGTGTCCTTTTAAGATTGAAATACATGAACTGGAAGCATAGCTGGCTGGTTTTACCTTGAATTTGAATTTCACTTAACATCCACTTGGAATTCTCACTTTGAATAAACCTGTTAATGTCATTTTTCATGTCTTGCAAATACATTTTTGTTAAATATAGGGGAAAAGTGCATGAAAATTCATTTCAGGATATATTCAAGGCATTCTGAGCTTTTTGTAAACAGTCAATTTGTCTAATCGGTGTATCATTTTTTATTATAACTGACATACTTTTGGCATCCAGTCAGCTGAAGTCTTTATATAACACACACTTTTATTATATTATGTGAAGCCTATATCAATTCCACATGGACATGTAAATCATTTTATTCTATAGAGAGAGCTGGCAGTCTCACTAGCCATCAGGTAATAACTTCCCTTGAGCTGTCCATATATGAAAGTCAGATTGTATAAAGCAATATTAGCCATTTCAGTGTTCCTTAGTTTGTATATGAAAATCTAAAAATACATTTTCCCACATGTACTATCACGAAATGGATGTGTAATAGTATAATGTGATATTGGAGATGATACTGACAATCCTTCTACACCCAACAATCGTCAGATATTGGTACAGTGGTAAGACGGAAGCATGTTTAACCCATTGTGTGTTGTATTAAGTATTTGATTTGTTTACTCACTTGATACTTATATTTGAATGCATCTGGGTATTTTATACTATGGCTGAGTATGATAGGAGTCATGGACCAGAGCAATATAAAGGTGGGCACCGCTAGGTTCTCCTTAAACCTAACCAGCCCAAACCTTACTATCAGTATCTGTTTAAGCCCACAATACAAATACAAAGTAGTGTATTCCTCTGTGCACTCCATGTCCTTTTCATGTTGTTTTTGGTGGGTAAGGACACTAAATCATAGGATCAAATAATCATCATTGTATTATTTTATTTATTATCAATGATTTTTCTCACTTGTCAAGCTAAGTTTTTAACTCCTTAAGGACTGCAGACATACTAGGTACGTCCGACAAAAAAGCGATAAGCAAGATTTCTTACCCGATCTCCGCAGTTCCCCACTTCGGAATATATATATCCATATACATAATTACATAAATAATTTCATAAAAAAACACGTAGACTTCAAATATATAAATATGTATATATGTAAATTCAATGTGCATAGTTATGTAATATTTTTACATAATTAAGTAATTTTATTGATTGCAATTTGAGGGACATGCCTGACAAATCAGGCCGAAAGTCCAGAGAATTTAATTTGCTAGTACTGTATTTAACACTGTAACTTTCCATGACACCCTAAAACCTGTACATGAGGGGTACTGTTTTACTCGGGAGACTTTGCTGAACACAAATATTAGGGTTTCAAAACAGTAAAACATATCACAGAGATGATATTGTCAGTGAAAGTTACTTTTTTTGAATTTTTAACACACAAACGACACTTTCACTGATGAAATTGTTGTGATACATTTTACTGTTTTGAAACACTAAAATTTGTGTTCAGCGAAGTCTCCCAAGTATAACAGTAACCCCATGTACAGGTTTTATAGTGTTTTTGAAAGTTACAGGGTCAAATATAAGGCTTGATTTTCCTTTTTTTCACATTGAAATTTGCCAGATTGGTTATGTTGCCTTTGAGAGCGTATGGTAGCCCAGGAATGAGAATTACCCCCATGATGGCATATCATTTGCAAAACAAGACAACCCAAAGTATTGCAAATGGGTTATGTTCATTCTTTTTTTAGTAGCCACTTAGCCAAAAATACTGGCCAAATTTAGCACCCATAGTTGTTTTTTGCATTTTTAACACACAAACAAATACATGCTAACTTGGGCCAGTGTTTGTGACTAAGTGGACACTAAAACATACTGGATATACTCCATATTGAATACCCTGAGTTATCTACTTTAAAATATTATGTACATGTGAGGTGTGATTCAGAGGTTTAAGACAGATAACAGTGTTACAATATCATTATTGATAAAAAATATTTATATATTTAAAAATATATATTTTGAAACAGCAATGTCCTACTTGTACTTATAGACCTATACCTTGCAAAAAAAGCTAAGAACATGTTAACATTTCTAAACTCAGGACAAAATTTAGAAACTATTTAGCACGGGTGTATTTTAGCGGTTGTATATGCGTAACAGATTTTGGGAGTCAAAGTTAGCATAAGTGTGTTTTTTTGAAATTTTTCATCATATGTTATAATTTTCTTTATAGTAAATTATGAAAATAATGGTATCTTTAGAAAGACCATTTAATGGCAAGAAAAACAGTATATAATATGTGTTGATACAGTAAATGAGTAAAAGGAAAATTACAGCTAAACACAAACACCGCAGAAATTTAAAAACAGCCCTGATCCTTAACAGTAGGAAAATTGAAAAACGGGCTGGTCACTAAGGGGTTAAAGGGAACCAGTGATATCAAAGGGACATCATAGTGATGTGACATCAAATATAATGGCCTGCAACAGCAAGTTAATATATAAATGTTTTCTAGAATCTCAATCTTAACTTTACCTACCACTCGGCCAATGGACCCTAGTGGCGATATGATTGTAGACTGTCTTTACAATATCCCTAAAGTAGGATAAATAGATAGATAGATAGATAGATAGATAGATTAATAGATATACAGAGTTATTCACTAAAGTGAGAATTCAAGGTAAATTCATAGTTAATTTCAAATGTAGGGTCAAATAGCTAAACTGGAAACTTTAACTAAGTCAGTTCAGTTACTCTTGCCTCACTTTTGAAATTCACCTTGAATTCACTTTCGTAAATAACTCTAAAAGATACATAGACAGACAGACAGAGTTTAGATTTAGATTATTTGATGATATAATGTACTTTACAAGCATTGCTCATTAGCTGTCTCACATATCCAAATGAAAATCTCCTTTTTGTAGCACCCAAAAATTGAATTTTCACCTTTCAAACAGAAACGAGAAAGGTTGAACATGATACAAGATGGATATATTTTCTTCAACCTAAATAATTATATACCTATATACGGATAAAAACTAGAAATCTAATATAAATATTTAAAATAATAACAAAAAGTCTGACTAGAAATAAAACTATTTTTTATTTGCAAAACATGCTTTTAAATTAAAATGAGTTTCATAGAAGAAATAGCAAAGCCTCTCAGTGTTAACACAAATAGGATGTATTCCCTGTCCATTATATTACAGTTAGTGATGTCCCGAACGGTTCGCGAACGGTTCGCCACGAACGGTTTGCCACAGACTCATCGTTGAGTAAACTTTGACCCTGTACCTCACAGTCAGCAGACACATTCCAGCCAATCAGCAGCAGACCCTCCCTCCCAGACCTTCCCACCTCCTGGACAGCATCCATTTTACATTCATTGTGAAGCTGCATTCTTAGTGAGCTGTCCAGGAGGTGGGAGGGTCTGGGAGGGAGGGTCTGCTGCTGGAATGTGTCTGCTGACTGTGAGGTACAGGGTTAAAGTTTACTCAATGATGAGTCCGTGACGAACCGTTCATGGCGAACCATTCGCGAACCGTTTGGCGAACCGTTTGGCGAACCGTTCGCGAACCGTTCGGCCAACCGTTCGGTGAACTGTTCGGGACATCACTAATTACAGTATATGCCTTTTCAGTGTCAAGATTTAAATGCAGATCATTTTGAAGTGGCTCTACTTCAACACCCATAAAGATGCAACATTTCTAATCACTTTAAATGATTACAGCAAGAGGTAAAATGAAACTGTTCCTGTAAAAAAAAATAAAAAATACATGACATTTTATGTGACTGGGATGACCGATTATAGATTTATTCAATAATTTAAAATCCATGTTTAGTAGAGCTTTTGGTTTAAACTGCTTCACCTCCGTGGTATTTATTCCATTGTTGGAAAATAAAATCACTGTGTTTTTGTAAAAGAAAAGTGATGCACTTGCTTGTCTGTTATTATGTGATTACAAAGAGAGTGACAATGTTTGGTTAGCTTCTCTTGAAACATTTTTGCAATACCTTGCCAACTCAATCACAAAATCCATCACTGGGCATTTTAATATTTCTATGTCACTCAGGGTAAAATATTTTTTTCTACTAATGTAAGCAAACCCAGGTCATTAAAAAATGCTAATAGTCTTTTGAGAATGTAAATTATTTTTATGTACATTTTTGATAATAAATTTACAAAATAGAATATAGATATATATTAGCAAATTGTTGGAGAAACATGTAAATATCGTTTTAGTTGTTGTTTATTTGAGATGTATCTTAGTCTTAGATACATCTCATCTTCATAGGTTGATGTTGCTTGTGTGTGTGTACATATATATATATACAGTTGTGCTCAAAAGTTTCCATACCTTGGCAGAAATTATGAAATGTTTGCATTGATTTTGAAAATATGACTGACCATGCAAACAAAAATGTATTTTATTGAAGGATAGTGATCATATGAAACCATTTATTATCACATAGTTGTTTGGCTCCTTTTTAAATCATAATAACCTAAATCACCCAAATGGCCCTGATCAAAAGTTTACATACCCTTGAATTTTGGCCTTGTTACAGACACACGAGGTGACACACACAGGCTAAAATGGCAAATTAAGTTTAATTTCCCACACCTGTGAAGTTTTTACATTGCAATTAGTGTCTGTGTATGAATAGTCAATGAGTTTGTTAGCTCTCACGTGGATGCACTGATCAAGCTAGATACTGATCTATGGGGAGCAGAAAAGAACTGTCAAAAGACCTGCTTAACAAGGTAATAGAACTTTATAAACATGGAAAAAGATATAAAAAAATATCCAAAGCCTTAAAAATACCAGTCAGTAATGTTCAATCACTTATTAAGAAGTGGAAAATTCGGGGGATCTCTTGATACCAAGCCAAGGTCAGGTAGACCAAGAAAGATTTCAGCCAAAACTGCCAAAGGAATTGTTTGGATACAAAGAAAAAACCACGAGTAATCTCATAAGAAATACAGGCTGCTCTGGAAAAGGATGGTGTGGTTGATTCAAGGAGCACAATACGATGATACTTGAACAAAAAGGAGCTGGATGGTCGAGTTGCCAGAAAGAAGCCTTTACTGCTCCAATGCCACAGAAAAGCCTGTTTACAATATGCCTGACAACACCTTGACATGCCTCACAGCTTCTGGCACACTGTAATTTGGAGTGATGAGACCAAAATAGAGCTTTATGGTCACAACCCATAAAGCTCTATTTGGAAAGGGGTCAACAAGGCATGTAGTGAAAAGAATTCCATCTCCACTGTGAAGTATTGTGGTGGCTCACTGATGTTTTTTTTTGGGGGGGGGGAGGGAGCTTTAAAGGCACAGAAAATCTTGTGAAAATTGATGGCAAGATGAATGCAGCATGTTATCAGAAAATATTGGCAGACAATTTGCATTCTTCTGCACAAAGGCTGCACATCGGACGCTTTTGGACTTTCCAGCATGACAATGACCCTAAGCACAAGGTCAAGTTGACCCTCCAGTGGTTACAGCAAAAAAAGGTGAAGTTTCGGGAGGGACCATCATAGTTGTCAACAAAATTATTCAACCCTCATTAAATAGGTTTATTGTCCACATGTACAGACTTTCAGCTGTTTGCAATGAACAAATGAAACAAAAGCAATTGAAATAGCTCAACACAATAAATGCTTTTAGTGGTTTCCCCAAACTCAACTGCAAATGCAACTTACAACGACTTCCCCAGTCTCAAAATTATTAAACCCCCTGAATAGAATCCTCACAACAAGGGCTTCATTAGTTGCACCAGGTGTGCTTGAACTGAAACACTTGAAATACCTGAACTGACAGGGGGTTTGTTGAGTGTCATGTTTGACTGCTATATATGTTATAAATATAGCTAAGTCAAAAAGGTGATAAAACATCAATCCAACGTGATAAAACATCAATCCAATTGTCCCCCAAAACAAGGACAGAAGATGCCTGTAGCAAGTGAGTTAAAAAATGATAAGCTTAGAGTCATGTCTACAAATGCTCGCAGTTTAGGGAATAAGATCCATGAACTTGTGGCAATAATGGCAACTGATAGTGTAGATTTAGTCGCTGTTACTGAGACATGGTACAATGAGAAAAATGACTGGGACATAGCAATACCAGGGTACTCTTTATATAGGAAAGATAGGGAAGGCAAGAAAGGGGGAGGGGTGGCCTTGTATGTGAAGGATAGCATAAAATCTAGCCTAATAAAAGTTAGTGAGGCGAACATAGAGTCCGTTTGGGTTACATTAGAATTTGGTAATCACACAGTAACTCGTGTAGGTGTGATTTATAGGCCCCCAGGACAAATTGAAGAGTTAGATAATCTACTAGTTGAGGAAATAGCTAAAATGACAATGAAGGGGGAAGTTATCATCATGGGTGACTTTAATCTTCCTGATGTAAATTGGAAAACAAAATTAGCTACTTGTGCCAGGAGCACACATATTCTAAACTCCCTACTGAGATTGTCTCTAAAACAAGTTGTTGAGGAGCCAACTCGTAAAGAGGCCATACTAGAGTTAGTGTTAACAAATGGAGATTTGGTATCAGATATTACTGTAGGTGAAAGTTTAGGATCCAGTGATTATCAGTCAGTGTGGTTTAATATAAGAACAGTGACTGAGTCACACCACACAAAAACAAAAGTTTTAGACTTTAGAAAAACAGACTTTTCTAAAATTAGAATATGGGTAGAGGAGTCATTATCAGACTGGAGCAATTTAAATGGAGTCCAAGAGAAATTGGATTATTTAAAATTTGCACTATTGAAGGCAACAGAAAATTGCATTAGGCTTGTCAGTAAAAGCAAAAAAATCAAGAAACCACTGTGGTACTCCAAAGATGTAGCCAAAATAGTTAAAAACAAAAAGTTAGCATTTAGGAAATATAAAAAAAAAACAGAGTGAGGAAGACAAAATGATCTATAAGATTAGGCAGAAAGAGTCTAAGCAAGTTATTAGAGCTTCCAAATCACACACAGAAGAGAAAATAGCACAGTGAGTAAAAAGGGGGGATAAAACATTTTTAGATACATAAATGAGAAAAGAAAAGTAAAACAAGGATTAGTTAGATTAAAAACAAAAGAAGGAAGGTATGTAGAAGAGGATAAAGGTCTAGCTGATTGCCTCAATGAATATTTTTGTTCTGTATTTACAGATGAAAATGAAGGAAAGGGACCTCAGGTGAGAAAAAGGATAAATGAGTCATTTATTACACGAGAGTTTACAGAGGAAGAGGTTCTATTTCAACTGTCAAAAGTAAAGACAAATAAGTCAATGGGACCTGATGGAATACACCCAAATCTATTAAAAGAGCTTAGTGGTGTCCCAGAAGATTGGAAGTTAGCGAATGTTGTGCCCATTTACAAGAAAGGTAATAGGGAGGAGTCAAGCAACTATAGGCCAGTAAGCCTTACTTCAGTAGTGGGGAAAGTGATCGAAACCATGTTAAAGGATAGGATTGTTGAACATCTAAAAACACATGGATTTCAAGATCAGAGACAACATGGGTTTACTTCAGGGAGATCATGCCAAACTAATCTTATTGATTTTTTTGATTGGGTAACTAAAATCATAGATCAGGGTGGTGCAGTAACTTTTGCTTACCTAGATTTCAGTAAGGCTTTTGACACTGTTGCACGTAGAAGGCTTATCAATAAACTGCAATATTTAAGTTTGGATTCCAATATTGTTGAATGGGTAAGGCAGTGGCTGAGTGACAGGCAACAGAGGGTTGTAGTTAATGGAATATATTCGAAGCTTGGACTTGTCACCAGTGGGGTACCTCAGGGATCTGTACTTGGACCCATTCTCTTTAATATTTTTATTAGTGATATTGCAGAAGGTCTTGATGGTAAGGTATGTCTTTTTGCTGATGATACTAAGATATGTAACAGGGTTGATGTTCCAGGAGGGATAAGCCAAATGACAAATGATTTAGGTAAACTAGAAAAATGGTCAGAATTGTGGCAACTGACATTTAATGTGGGTAAGTGCAAGATAATGCATCTTGGACGTAAAAACCCAAGGGCAGAGTACAGAATATTTGATAGAGTCCTAACCTCAACATATGAGGAAAGGGATTTAGGGGTGATTATTTCTGATGACTTAAAGGTAGGCAGACAATGTAATAGAGCAGCAGGAAATGCTAGCAGAATGCTTGGTTGTATAGGGAGAGGTATTAGCAGTAGAAAGAGGGAAGTGTTCATGCCACTGTACAGAACACTGGTGAGACCTCACTTGGAGTATTGTACACAGTACTGGAGACTGTATCTTCAGAAGGATATTGATACCTTAGAGAGGGTTCAGAGAAGGGCTACTAAACTGGTTCATGGATTGCGGGATAAAACTTACCAGGAAAGGTTAAAGGATCTTAACATGTATAGCTTGGAGGAAAGACGAGACAGGGGGGATATGATAGAAACATTTAAATATATAAAGGGAATCAACACA